ATGTGAACCAGGAAATCCTTGCTCATCTTAGAGCATTTGTAAGATACACCCACATTGATGGGAAGCATTTTCAACCCTGCGTCACATTAGCCACTAACAATTGGGCTTCAATTGCTATTGGAATGAGCCAGTTTTTTATGAGCGCGGCTACAATGTGGAGCCAACTCAATAAGTATAACTACACGGCATCGAAATCTACTATTAAAGTTCTGGGGGTATTAGGGATGATAGAAGTAAACCTTAACTGTCAAATCGATAATTTCTAGGGTTTCACACGTTACAGAACTTCGAAAAATCTCTTTGGTGGGCACCAAAGAAAGAGGATTGACCGCTATGCGTAAATGAAAATATCCTGTGGTGTTTTTTGTGAATGAAATCCAGAATATGACTGCCTCTCAAATCAAAAGAGCCATCTAATAGTAGCTAAGGCACTGGCCAAATGCCACAGATGGGTAGCTGCATTCACATTAAATGATATAAGAAGACAACCTATCGATTACCTAATCTATGGTCTGTGTGTTGGAAATGGAAACACGGAGTGTTGTGGACGTACGGGCCCTCCATTTCGTCTAGGTTTCCGACACGATCTTGTGAGTATGTAAGGGGTTGGAATGGGCAATATGTTAGCGCTTCAGGCTACTTATTGGAGACGTGAGCTGCTGTATGGCGTGGGCGCAAGGAGGTTATGGGGGTTTTCGATGCCTAGATGGCGCCACACTCGTTTATGCTGTGGCTTAGGCTCTGTGTTGCTTACACTTGTACTTTTTTTTTTTTTTTTTTTTTGCATCAGATTTTAATTGCGTATGCAGCTATCTAGCTATGACACAATACACTTGTACTTGTAGCGCACGTCTCCCACACCTTTAGCTTTAATTCGAACATGACACTCTTTTGGTCGACTTCTTCTTTCGTTCCATGAATACTGCGCCCATTACATCGCGCGATATTTCCAACACTATGTATTGATCTTTTTTATAGGACCATGTTGTGATAGTATGTTTGGAAATTGTCATCAGTCTTAAATTTGAGCCCTTTGTTGGATGCGCATTACATTGCGTACGTGAGAAGTAATGTCGAAAGCTCGCCATATGGAAATCGTATTCTATTTCAACGATACTAGCCGGTTAGAGAGAAGAATACTCAACACCCTTCAGCAGTGTCCCTTAGAAGTCCCTAGCTCTAGCTATAGAGTGTGCAGGGCCAAGATTGAGTAAAACCTTCGACTTCACTTTCATGATGATTCCCTGTCGCTTTCGCGGTCTGTCTCGTCTTCATCTCTCAACACATACCCCTATCACCGTTATTATGGAGCTAACCACGCACCGATCAGATCCTAAGTTCGAAGCCCTTTTCATCACTAACCCTTGATCATGGAGAAAAAGCCATCCGATGAGTTTCAGGAGCGTACCCAGCACCCGATACTGAGATGGTGAATTGGATCAGGTCGGCCTCGACTGTTACAAAGAAGGGAGATATGGATGAATATGCGCACTTCATGTGGTCCCGATGTCTAAGCCTCGCCTGGCTAGGGATGCAGGTTTTTTGAGACTATTTCCCGCGCACGCAGTGTCGATTGTTACCATTTTTTTTGGGTAGAGGGTTCCATGGAAAAGGTGGCCGAATTCCACGGGTAAACACTGAGCTGATTGGCTATTCATCACGGGCAATATATCAATGATCTTTCAAGGAACAAAAGAGGCAAGGAGCACTGTACAAGGTGTAGCCTGGGTCAAAGAGGAGCCCAATGTGCTAGATAGTCTATGATTCAAGGGATGCAATTAGAAATAAAATTAAACTAGTTGATTAGGCCAACAGCTAGCTTCTGTGCACGTGCACGTCAAGCTTGGGTGAACAACAGAAACAACTGTTGTCCGATATTCTTTCAATTGATTAACGTCAGATATAGCAACACACAATTTGTCGGCTCAGGCAGGTTTTGAAACTAACCGTAGATAACTAAGTTTGGTCTCGTTATCGCAAGATTCAGGTATCCATCAATTAAGTAGTATAGAAGTCCGACCTTCGAGATCACCGAGAGCCATACCATGATGCAAAGAGGTTGGTACGAACTGGACGCAGATCTTGGAAAAAGATTCCTCGAAGCGACTTGAACCTTATGACTTGCTGATATTTCCTTGAAGTATCAATGATTTACACGCCAAATACCTCCATATTCTACACGTTGATCATGAGAAAATCCCGGAATCATGTAGACGTAACGATTGTCTAGTATGAGGGGAAGAAGAATTGCAGCTATTACAAATTAATTTATCAATGCAAGTGTTATTTAAAGGCTATGCTATGGTGGAAGAACGTACCTTTAGGAAAATTTGTGGAAGGAAGTAGCCACAGCTTTAAGATAAATATAGTTAGTGAGTTTTGCTCTTGGGACTTTGGTCAATAAACGAACATGAAGATAATCCCGAGTATTCTCAAATGTGTGAATAATATGGAAAATTTTGAAATTCCCTATAAATTGTACTGCTTATACTATCTTTGTGGTAGGAAGTTCCCCTATACATAAAATAAGGGAATTTCTGCACACTACTTGATGTTCTAAGATATTTCTTAGTATAACAGAGAAAGGAAAGATATCAGATATCCTAGTACGAGTAGATACATCTCGAAATCTATTGAAAAATACTTAGTTATACCAATGAGCGGTGTCAAAGTTCAACAACATCTCATAGCGCATGTGCATAGTATTCTAACGTGAACAATCTATTGTTATGTAGTCATAATACTTCCTTATCAGAACAAGTTTGAGGGCCATGAGTCAGAAAGAAACTTTATTTAGAATGTAGCGATTGAAAGATTAATAAGTTGAAAGCTCGGAGCTGGAAAGTACGTTGTTTGACCCAAGAGGCTTGCTTCAACTATAGGTTGGGAAATGACTCGCCAAAATTAGACAGAGTATAAAGGTAATCGGAGTTAATGTACTTGGGGAATAGTTTAGACTAGCTGAATGGTTGGATCACCGAAAAAAAAGTATGATCAAGCTGTGAATAAGCGACAGTCCGCGGCGGAACTAACCATCTTGCGGATTCTAAGGATTATGTTCCCAATTGTGATAATCATTTTCTATGCCAAGTGAGTCGTGACTCAAATAGGTAAAGCTGCGGTATCACGCTATATCAAAATATTGTCTTGACTAAGGTTGGCCTTGGCGGGAGAAAAGTTTTGCCCAAGTAATATTTCAGCTAAAGTAGCGTCAGATTTATCAGTAGATTTGAGCTTGCTAGAGTTAGAAATTGGACCCAACTTGATTAAAGTTAATTAAAGCTGTGGATCTTCTCATTGTGTGCTGAAGACCTATCTCTCATAATGTTCCCATGTTTTTAAGCAGCAAGGGCACTTCACACTTTATAGCGTAGAGACAAACTAAAATAAATAGACGGGAAGATTTTGATTTGAATCTCATCTGTGGCTTAAGTGTATATCACCTTCGATGATGAGGGTAAGCTTGTGTTCGTAGGTGAATTGCTGAAGGAACCAACGGGTTTATCGATTTATGTCTAGAGCCAGTAATCCCAGTATCTAGAAGGCGTGCGGGACGTGAACATTAGTCGATGTTCCTGAAGCTTCACGATTCAACATGGATATTGGTCGTCATCATTGACAACGTATTGTATTTGAGGGAAAAGGCTTGTTCTTGAGATTGTTATCGGCCACGACAAAACAATTACCGAGCGAGTGCCAAAAAACGAAGATCCTAGACAAAGTTTTCGGATGTTTCAGTAGCAAGTTGGTCCTTCGAAAAATAGAAACTATTTTCGGCATCCGAGAGGCCCGAAAAATGTCCGGAGTCGAACAGGCAAAGAGATGATGGAGAAAATGAGACTCGGCACCATTCTAGGCCGGGAGAAAGATAAAGATGAGTAGATAGGCAGTTGGAGCCTTCAATCCTCCTTCCCCGACCTATACAATGAGCTGGCAAAATCTATCATGCTCGTCTCCTGCCTTTTTCCTGATGCCATGGCGCCAAAAGGGCTGGAAGGCGGCTTGGTCTCATGGTGTTTTTTGGTTGCTGACTCTTAGCTAGTGAATGGCGTAATTAATAGTGGAATTCCCATGGGATGGCTCCGTGACCCGTCACTAGCAATGCATCCTCTTTGCTTACCCTAGGCTAAGTTGGCTCCGGCCTACAAAGTTGACGATGCAGCTCAGTGACAGTAGTGGGGAATTTAAAGAGCTTGTAGCTGGTCGCAATAAGACGCATGTAACTTTAAGAATCTCTTTGATGCGTGACCTTGAGATGGCGGGACTCATAGGGAAGCAGCTAGCAGCTGACTAGTAGATATGACATGCAGGTCCGACTCACGCCACCATATGACCTGTGCGCGTCAACTGCCCCACGTCGTTTTGGCTGCTCAGAAAAAACGGCTGGACACGAGCTACTAGGGATGCTCAAAGCAGAAGAACAATGTTCCGCCAAACAGAATAGAATTTTGTTTATGCACCTACTGAGACTATGACTATGAAGGACAACTAAGTTATCTAAATAGCTTTAAATTCAATAGTAAATTTGGATATTGTTGTGCTTAATATTTGCCAATAGATGATGAGGGTCATGCCCTTGTTTCGCCCAATAGCGATGGTTTCGGAAGTAGAATAAATTCCGAGACGCTCGAAAATTTGTCACTAATTAGAACGATATGAGGTCTGTCCATGAGCAAATCTGGGATAGGATGAGCTATATATATGATAACATAGTTTTCAAAGTATAGATGAAGAGCACTTGAAGCAAGACATCTAAATGGAAGTATAAGTTTCACAATGGTGTGGATGGAGCTGTGTCCTATCCGCCACACCCGAGAAAGAAGACGAATGTGGTTGGTTCTGTGCCACTTGATGGTCTCTTCTACCCGTAATGGTTTTAACAGGCGGTAGGGAAATTCTACGTGCAACTCGATGTATCTCATCGTAAAATACGGCAAAGCCAATGACGTGATCTAGAATTGTCTGAGCAATAACGTGCATAGCCATGGTCAGCGCATATGTCAACAGTCACATCGCCCCACCCATCTGGGAAATGTTACCATTTCTCTGATGTGAGATACACCGGCCATGAAGCCCAATATACGATCAAATCCCAATCCAAATCCACCATGTGGCACACTGCCCCATTTGCGGAGATCGACATACCACTTCAGATCTCGTAGTTGGTCGTCTGAAGGCTCAAGGTTGGGAATTAATTTCCTTTCAAACATTGCGGCGAGGAGCGGCTTGAGTCGGTGCTCCCGCATCGAGCCACCTGCAATTTCACAGAAATCAGGAACTAGAAGATCAAAGCAGTCTACAGTCTCGCACTCAACCTCACTTTTAACAGATGTTAACATGTAAAAGGGCTTGAGTACCCGAGGATAATGCGTGACAAATACAGGAGTTACATGACCAGCGTTGACGCCAACCATCCGTGCAATATATTTTTCGTGCTCAGTTTGTAGACCTACGCCCCATTTGGGCTCATGCTCGAAGATGTGTGTACTAGACTGGAGGTTCTTGATGGCCTCAGTATATGTGATACGTTTCCAGTCGAGAGTAATCCCATCCCAGCGGCGTCGTAACTCTTCCTTTTGATCCGATCCATAAAGGAGATCTTGCCCAGTCTGTGAAGTACTGAGACCGCGCGCAATTGGGATTAGTATGCTACGAATCAATTCCATTACGTCGTCCATTGACTCTACAAAACTCATCTCGGCCTCTAGTTGATAGAACTCGCTGAGATGCCGGGTCGTATCACTTTTCTCAGCACGAAAAGAAGGAGAAAGAGTCCAGACGTTACCCGCTGCTTGCGATAGGGCTTCAAGATGTAGCTGGCTTGAAACGGTCAGATATTTTGGTGAGCGGAAGAAGTCTTCCTCAGGATCCATAGGCTTTCCCTTCGATGAAGTACTAACACGAAAGACCTCTCCAGCACCCTCACAGTCAGAAGATGTGATAATAGGAGTGTGTGTTTGCACAAAGTTCATTTCCGCGAGTGTCTTTGTGACGATTGCGATAGCATCCGATCGAAGCCGAAGCAAGGCCGCATTAAATGGAATGCGAGTTCGAAGGTGTGGGATGGTTCGCAGATATTCGGGGGTTTGATATTTTTTTTGGAGAGGGTAACTCTAGGTAGTTAGCATCGTGGTCGCAATTGAAATGTAAGCATACAGTGTTTGTGGGTCCAATCAAGTCCAATTTAGACACATGGAGCTCGTGGCTCTGTATCAAGGGGTTCACCGAAGGCTTCCAAGATCCAGTGACGCGAACAGCGTTCCCGTACGATACTCTGCCGGACTTTAATCAGCTTCATGCTCCCCTCACAAGGCAAAGGGGGATCACACCCTTTGGCCTGCTCTGGTGTAAGTAGCGCCTGCAGAGTCTGCATGCTTGAACCATCTCCGATTGCTGCAAAAGATCGCTGTTTCTGGTTTCTGATGGATTGGATATAGCCATTGATGACCACTTCATCAAGCCCTAGGAGTTGCGCATGCGCCGCGTCCGTCGGCTTTTGGCGCAGCATCCAAGCAACCGAGACCTGTGGCCTCGAGTAGGCTATGCCTCTTAAAGTATATCCCCTACATCTTGAGAAGGGTGAGGTAAGATTTCGGAGCATTGCTTTTCGTTGGATGGTAGCTTGATGGCCTGAGTATGCCGCCGACAGGTGGGTGAGCGGGATGGTGGATCGCCACGCGCAAATACTGATAGTAGCCTTTCCGACCTACCACCTTTACGCGGCGGCGCGGCAGAAGTTGGCGCGTTCCGCAACTACCAAGATGGATCGTGCGCTTGCCAAGAAATAGGTTCATCCCACCTCTCCGGAAGACAACTGACTGCATCACTCACTTCCTGTACTACTAGTATACCCTCACGATTTAGAGCGGGCTCTACCTTGATCAATCTGACTTTAACCTGACCTCTAAAGTGGAACCAATCAAGTAATGATCCGTTTGAATATTTTGCAATTTTGCTTTTTTCCCTTCTGGGCTCCTTCGCAAACCATTACGGTGGTCACGGAGTCCGATCCTAGGCACAGTTTATCCCAACGTATGTTCTAATTGATAGCTGCTCATCAATCGTAGCAGGTGTGGAGGCTAGAGAAGGATTCACAATAAGGTTCATAACCAACTGGATCATAGTGGGGGGAGGGATGCCTCTATTGAGTATCGAATATCGACCGGATTCCCAGAAGCTGAGATGCATCACAGCACAACGGCAAATCAGAGTAGACTTATCCTAAAACGAATCGGACCCGGAATGCAAACGGCAATTGGATGTTACTTCTGGCTGACTCCGCAAATACAATTTGATTGGAGGAGGATAATGAATCCTTTCATTCTGCCCGATCAACCTCTGTTCGTCTATCTGGGGCGCCAAATCTCAGAGCGTACAAACTGGTGGTGGGGCCCAAAAATTTGTATTGTCTTACTCATTCCCCTTCTCTTAACGGCTATTCTTCCAATCAATTCAACGCTAGGCTGTGTGGATGCCGTGCAGAAGTCTTGTATCTGGGCTTGTGGGTTGTTTTGTTTCCGGATGTACATCCTCCATAAGTTTCAAAGCGGATTCCGGAATTTGAAATCGTTTCATGTTATCGGAGTTCTTCTTATGCCTGTAGCCTTGTGTTTGTGATGACTTGCATCGGCATGGAACTTGAATGTCCTTCGGTGCTACTTTTTTTTCTTTTCACCACTTCCCGTAAATATATTCATATATACTATTATATATGATTATATATATATATGTATCTATTTAATTACATGAACAGTCATATATAAGATGAGTTGTCTCATGCCACATCATATCTCAGCTACTTTTACGATTGGAGTCGAGACTACGTTCGCAAGGAAATCCATCATACATAGTACGACAGTCACACATCCGTCATGCCATCATCGAAGCCGAAACCATCAGATGTTGCTGCTGACGCCAAGAAGACTTATATCCCCCATATCAAGGCGAACTACAGCGCTGAATGGCCGGCCACTTCCTACTTGTGCTATTCGGAGTCTATGGTAGCAACTCCCCCAAAGATTCCACTAAAGTGCCGATTCGGTATGCCAAATTTTACTCTCTATCTAGTCAAACGAATTCCAAAATGTCAGATAATTGCCAGTCTCTAACATTGACTAGCCTTCTACGAACGGGATCCAGTAGACGTAGCTCTAGATTGGGCAGATCCCGCTGATAATCATCCTATTCCTGTCATTATGCCAGCCAATGAAAAGCGACCGGGGGGTGACTGGGAGGCTAGTAAGTAATATTGAGTGTGTAGCTCCTAGATATGTTCTTATTTTGATAGGTGTCATGTCGCCAGAAGAGTGTCTCTGCCGTCGGAGTAATCTATATGCGACCCTGACCACACCGGCATCGGGGAACGCGGAAAAAAGCAATTACCCGATTCCTCCCAAAGCAGGAATTTACTCGGCAAATGTTGGTACGTAATGACAATGATTTAGAGAATAACCAGTTCATGCTTGAGCAGTTGTTTTCCGAAATGGCCCCGATCGATATGAGCATTGGCCACGGTATCGCTCCCTTCCCATCATCTCTGTCTGTCCCGTGAAACGCCCCAAACTTGACAGCTCTGGGAAAAAATACTCCTTCAAGCAAGAAAAAGATCTGATGAGAGAAAAAATTCACGCAGCCCTACGAATAGCTGTGTGGTATAAGCACACGCGTCTCTGCATCGGAACCTTTGGACTGGGCACCGGATTCAGGAACCCGACCGAAGAAGTTGCCCTGTTATGGAGAGATGCACTCCTAAATACCCCTGAATTTATGGGTCACTTCCAGGATATTGTCTTTGCCTTTGAAGCCTCAGACGGTCCAACGAATACGAGTTCGACCTTTACTACGCGCGTTGGATCGACAAAATCTTCCAAAGGTGTAAAAACGGCTCTATCAAAGAGTAGTGTCGCAGCTGATCTTGCCATATTCCGGCATGTCTTTAAGCCGGCAGTCATTCATAATGCTTTTAACCAACCCCTTGATACATGAATTGTAACAGCATTGGTGACTTTAGCAGATCATAACTCTGAGTGTGCCTGGCGTGCACTAGCCTTGAGATGTACAGTAATACGACATGGAGCAATTGGAGGTTTCGGGTGAGCGAGGGGCATCAAGGCGTTTTAATTGGCATGATCAGTAAGGTTAAAGTTCTTGAGACCGGCCGAACTTTGTTCAGACGTTCTTGTACAAAATTGGGGAACGGTTAGAGTTCTCCTAGGGACGGAGTTTTGTGGGGAAATCGAGCCCTAGTTGACAGGGAATTCACGTATATACATGCATGGCCCTGCTGCCTCACAATTAAATGAGATATCTCAAGAATCAGAAACGAGATAAGCGACTCACATTGTGGTCCCACTTTGGACTTCTTTCATGGAGTAGTGACGAGACCATTTCACCGAGCTTCCGATCAACTGGCATACACCCATTCATGATGCCCTTACAGCTCACTGGGTATTATCTTCTGGGATAGCCCGGCTTGGGCCGCCCCTTTCTGATCCACCCGTTTCAGAAATAATCATTTGGACATCTCCCACAGCTGTAGCCTTACTTGACAAGCTGGACACTTTTCATGAGAGATCAAAGGACGACCAAGTGGGGATGTTCTGCATGCCTAGCACAGTTGTAGAGAAGAAGTCAAATTCGAGTTGAGTGCACGCCTTGCCAATGCTAGCGACCGTCACAGCTCTCCTGTCCAAACATTTGCATCAGGAAATGATCTGGTGTTCGTCTTCTAGCCTCAGAAGCTCCTGTGCGGAATGCAGATTGGTTCTCTAGCCATGCATCATTACTAGCTAGCCTTTGTATAGTTTGAACGCTGCTGTTTCAAGGCCTTGTAAAATACAGGGCCTAGTATGGCATAAGCAGTGGTAGCTCTGATAGTATTATTTGGGTATTGGTGCGTGGATGTTCTTGCTTGATAAGGCTCTAACGAATAGTAATGAATAGTAATGACCTATGGGGCCTCGACAGTTCCATAATGCTAAGATGTTAGTTAAGCGGCATACTTTAAGAAGTAGCGGAATTATGTATTACTCATTCAAGAACATGGCTAATACAGGCCTTCTTTCCGCACCAGCTCAGACGAAAAATAACTAAAGTTTATCCATGGAATTACTGAATAAGAGGTGGCCAAGCCGGTAGGTATCTCCAATGCTTGCTAGAATTTACTCGCTGGTACTAGAATCGTGACTACCAGTAATGATTACTTCAATTTTAAGGTACTGAGGCGGACATTTTGCTTTGTGTCGGGAATCCACTGATAACAATTACCGGGGATGTCCTACCAAGTCCGAATGGAAGGAATAACTTAAGCCAACTCTTCCGTCTGAATCTGCATCCGAAGTCGCCAGAGTGGTAGAGGATCTCTAAGTTCCGCTTGCTTCCGGCTACATCAGCCAAGAGCTCTGGGTGTCGTTGCGGTTTTGATGCCATAAATTTTAGAAAACTCAAAAATGGACGGTGTATAGAGAATTCGACTCCGAGCTTTTTGCACAATCTTTACCAAGACTACAGTACATTCCTAAGTTAGAATCTGAACTGATAGCTTTTTGGGTGACCGAGTTGATTAAGCTGGGCCGTCCAAAACATTTAATCAGCAACGATTTGAATTATGATCTGGAACCGATAGATACTGATTTGAATAATTCTTCAAGTTATACTGTGGTCTAGAGGATTAATCAGACTGATTAGGGCTAATTTGCTAGTTTCCTCATCTCCGAATAGCTTCAAGAATTTGTCAAAGACTCTCATCTTGCTAGGTAAGGTAGTAGAGCTAACCTGACAGGTCATACAAAATACACCTTCTAAACTACCTTTTATCTCGTCCATAGTTGTACATTAGTCATTTTTCAATTTGAACAGTGGCAGGTTGGCTGAGTCTCGTTTGAATTAGACGCCATCCACACATTCAAACCACTGTCGCTTGTTGTCTTCGCCTGGGACTTGTTGTTCGAGGTGGGATGTATCAGGACCCCCAACGGCTTTGACCCCGGCTCAGGTTGCCCATTATCCCATGCATCAGAGAAAATATTCTATGATTTTGGTGAAATGCTACTCCACTCGATAACCCGATAACTCCAGGAAAAGTTTAGTCGCCAGATCCCTAGCGCAGGGCGGACAAGACGATTCCGGCCGACCCTGGTTAATCTCCCAGTTAGTTTCAGACAAGTGCTAAACCGATCCTGGCAAGCCCCGCGCCCCTATACCGGCTCAGCCGACTACCTAGGCAAGCTGTCCATTTACAGTTTATTTGCTATTGGCCAGCTTCAGCCGTAGGATCAGAGAAGCATCTGGCACCCTCATGTTCTGGATCTTAGGAGATAATATCTCGGGAATATTGTAGGTTCCAGTTGTTCAGTTTATGATCAAAAATGATTTCACGTAGGTGTCTCGTGGCTCCGACTAATTAACAATATAATGTGAGTAGAGCTTGAGACTAATAATACGTGAATCTATTTCTATGATAAAGGATCACCAACTTATTTAAATATCCCCCCGCACCACGTGAGCCAATCAACAGCGCACAATGTGCACGGTCAGGTATCCCTCAATTCGGATCCAAAATGTCTTCGTAACTGCAATACTAAATAATTATTATCTTCAAAAACGTGAGTTCAGCAAAGTCTTTCTTTGATAGAGCGATAATCCAAACAAGCAAATGTGCTGCTTTTATATCCGCAAGGGGTTGGAAGGTGCAGTGGTACACCATCCCGGCCGTTCTCCCAAGTAGATACTGGGTAGCTTGAACACCTACCCCACTCGAGACAGGAGAAAGCTGGTTCGAATCCAGTCATATCCACACACCACTCTCTCTCGCGGGGATATCGTACTTGTGGGATGATGAAAGCACACTCGGATAGCCATAGGGTTTTCACGCTTTTCCCTGTGGTGGGTATGAATGGAAGAGGTTATACGCCGTAAGGGTTTACCTCGAGTGGTATCTGCAAATGAAATCTGAGTGTGAGTATTCTAAACATCAAACTGAGTCATCCTACTTACAGTACATATTTTTCGATAAAACCTGCATGGGCCTCAAGGCGCCAAATCAGGTAAAATGAATTATATATATGTATACGCAAGGTTTGGTGGGAGTGCCTTGAATCATATTCCTCTATAATGTATAGGGATATAGCGTAATATTTGCATTAAAATTCCATCAGCCCGGCTGGCACAATTGGTTAGCGCGTGGGCCTTTTAAGCCCAAGGTTGAGAGTTCGAGCCTCTCGTCGGGCTTGGGAGTAGTTTTCGTGTGAACGCGCTGCCTCTCTATTTTACGGTTTTGGGACTTGCTTGATTTGAATTTGAATTTGAATTTGAAATCTTTAACGTGACAGGACGAACCCAACATCTATTTAGACGTGACACGGGTAGATGGGCCCTACGAGCTCATTGCTACCTACATGACCGGCATTAAAGCCAGAAGCGACAAAAGAAAAATAAAATCACAGCAAATGTCTGAGTTACGGTGCCCTGCACCGTATCCCTATCTTCCAAACACCTCTCCTCTCGAGCCAGAAACTATCTCAGCATGGTCACTCCCACCCTGTCAGTTCTTCGGCAGACTGTAGCATCTGCTTATGGTTAGGAATTGGAAAAACTTCTGCCATCCCTTCTCCCCTATCATTTCCCTGACCCCAGGTGGAGTCATTTTCTCACAGCTTCTCCAACGTTGCAGAGCAGGTCGGCACTCTGAAAAATGCCAGGGCCTTTTCTCTCGGCCGCAAATGCACATCAGATCTTCATGTTCGGGGTTGAAACGCCGGTGGTAGTCGGCGTAGTCCCCGTGGCCTGTTCTTGCCGCAATAAGACGGTGATACGCCCATCGAGGCAGAGCCAGTTCCGGCGGTCGCTTGCAGCGCATGTAGAGGTCGAGATCTTTGTATCGTTTAGGCCGATACTTCTGCCACCACTCTTCCACAAGCTTTTGGCCCCGCATTTTCACTAGTCTCCCTAGAGCCGCAAAGGTCAGAATTTGCTCGTCTCCGTTGGGCGAAGCTGAGGTTAGTGATTGGTCATTGAGATCTCCCAGGGCTGATTTGGCCAGCTTATCGGCTTCTTCGTTGCCTTGGATCCCCACATGACCAGGTATCCAGTGTATTTCTACACGCCTATTATGTCTCAGCGATGAGAACTTGTCCACCACTGTCTGCGAGGAATTGGATCTTCCTTGTTCGAGCGCTCTGACGGCCGCTTGATTGTCCAGAAGAATGCTGACCGGAAAGCCTTCTCCCACCGCTAGTGCAGCCTCCAAGGCTTTCATAGCGCCTACAACTTCTGCGTCGAATACCTCTGCTCCGGGAAGCGGACCCGAGCCACTTCCAGCTAGTTTGCCTCCTTGGTATACCACATAACCCCAAGCTGATTGCCCGGGACCCGACGAGGATCCATCAGAGAAGGCACAGACTGCGTTGGCTGGAAGGGAAGTTAACCATCGTTTGATGCTTCCTGACCTAGCTTCTTTTTCCCGACTGCCTGGTGTCGATGCCGGGAGACCATGGGGAAAGTAGAGCTTTCCAGGGCCTTCCGCTGTCGGAACTTGACGCACGCTTATTTGTAGGCGTGTCATGTACCTTTCTGGCTGTCTGAACAAGCGATCTCGTTGTCCCGATCTAAGACCTAGGCGTTTTATAGTATCTTTCGGGTCCTCCGCCGCCCGAAGGGCTAGAGGGTGCCAGGCATCCATTCTTCGCATTCGAGCTGCAGACCGCAACATCTTTTGTTGGAGAATTATTGATGCCGGGGGAATTCCCGCTTCACGATGAAGAGCGCTATTGGGAGTGGTACGCCACGCTGGGAGTGCTACTCGTATAGCTTTCGTGATAGTTTTGTCCAGCAGAGATGTGTGCCACCCTACTCCAGTGCCGACTTCTTTATCTCGGATGGTGGTTATTCGAGAAAGACCCGGCCACCACGCTTCTGCCCCATAGAGAGCTGTGCTCAGAACGCATGCCTGTACCGCACGAATTAGAGGTCCGGGTGCTGCCCCGCGC